ACTGAATGTAAGTTTTTAATGTTCAGCCCTATAGGCAATCCAAGAAATACAAAATAAAACAGCAACTTCCCTATCAAAGAGTCAAAGATTGTTGTTCAATTCAGGGAAATCATATTTTTATATATTGTTAGTGGGAGTACACATTCAAACATTTTTTCTGGAGAACAATTTGACAATATTTTTCAAAGATAAAAATGTATTTCCATTTGAACCAGAAATTCTATTCCTATTCATTTAACACAAGTGCATAATTATAGACAGCAAAGTTTTAGTAGCCAAAGTGGTTAATGCTGTGGTATCATAAGGCATCAAAAGCTAGGACACAGCCCAAATTGTTAAACAGTGGGAAACCAGCTGAAATAAACAATGACATCTACTAAATATTGTAGAAGAAATTTAATGCTCAAAATACACTGAAAACTAAGCTTCATAAATAATGTAATACTGTTTTGTTATATGCACATGCCTATATAGACATAGAAAAAGACTGGAAATATATACATCAAAATATTAACAGTGGTATTATAAATATTATTATAGGTATTTTTATTTTCTTTTTATTTGAATTTTAAAAATTTCATGCTTTAATATGTATTATAAAAAAGAAATATGATTATCACATTATCATCTGAAAAACATTTTTTCCACTTTCATTTAAACTCTTATTGAATTAGTAGTCTTTCTATGATTTTTAGCTCTATAATACCAATGTCCACTGGGAATCTTATTATATATATGACAGCCATTTTGAGGAATTAAGATTTCCTTGTTCATAGTCTGAATTCAAAGGATTTAAAGAAGAAATTAAAAGAGAATTAAGAAAAAATGGATTAATAGAGTAATAGTTTAAATATGTATCTGTAGCTCTTTCCAAAAAAGAAGTCAGTTTCAATTTTCTTTCTCATAATCTCTTTACCTTTCTTATTATCTTTTCAAATTTTATCCTTTCACCTTCAAACTTTAAAAAAGTTAATAAATTTTTGTTCCAGAATTACAAAAGGAAAGGAGATAGGAAACTTAATTTTAATCATACATGTTAATTCTAATATGTCAATTACCCTTAAACTGTTAAAAAAATAAAAACCCACAAAACTCCAGTGTAATACCCAAATCCACAATACATTGAATGCAATGACCAACTATTGAAATCTCAAAGGACATTCAAACTGCATTTAAGCTTAAACAAATAAAAAAGCTGAGGCCAAAATAGAACAGGTGTGATCAGGCCCAGTCAGATGCCTTAAATGGCTTATCAAATGCCAAACATAATACTTAAAACCCTGAGTGTCAGGGAGTGGACTTGATGGGTTGAGATGCAAAATTACATGAAAACTTGTTGAAGTTACTAGAAACACCAGAAAGAACAAAATTAGCTCATGGTCTTTCTGCATCAGTTTGTATTATATAGTTTTTTAGTTTCTCTTAGTTTAAATTTATAAAAATAATTTGCAGAAAAGAGGAAAACTTAAAAAATTGAATATCTTGTCTTTGTAATATGTATCACAGGTCATATTTCTATACATTCTCATATCTGGATTTTAAGGAATTAGTTACATGCTGATCAGATTTTTTCCAAACCTTTTTTTTATATTAAAGTATCATTGATATACAATCTTATGTTGGTTTCAAATATACAACATAGTGGTTCAACAGTTACCCATATTATTAAATCCTTACCCCTTCTAGTGCGATTACTATGGACATGCTGATCAGATTTTGCAAAGAAAGATGTGAAATTTAAAATGTCTTAGAATAAATATTTCTATCACTCTAGATTCCACATTCTCCTTACCTGGCAGCCACTGCCCTAAACATTTTCAAGAGAATAGTAGTGACTATCACCCTTTAAGTTTCAAATATTCAGGCAGACACTGACTTTGGGTAATAATAGTTCACAAAGCATTATTGTGTTGGAACGAATATTAAGAAATGCATTCTTGCTTTACCCGTACTTCTCTTTACCTACTGGAATGCCCAGGTTTTTGGGACTGCACTCTAGTCAATTTCAGAAAAAGGGATTACTTCATTGCAGAACATTCCTCTCAAGTTTTAGAGAGCTTGGGACATGTACATTCATTTGCTTACTCCCCTTTTCCTTATCAATTTCATGTTGGAATCATTAGTTAAGCAAGGGGTAATGGGTACTCTGATTTCCAAAACAAGAATGAAATGGCACTTGCACATGTTTTGTCTTACAGTTGTCAATTAGGCAAAATCCCTACACAGATCAATATTTTCATGATCAGCTCAGCATTTTTGTTTTTTCACACATAATCATTACCTTTTGCTCAATCAAGTAACCTTTCTCTTCTTAGAAACTGCAAAGGGTGGCTCACTGACAGCAGGCCTCATAGTTTTAAATTTTAACTTTTAAAAAGTCACCAGCAATACATAAAAACCCTAAATATTCCATTCCAAAACTATTAGNAAAGAAATCAGGAAAACAATTCCATTCACAATTGCATCAAAAAGAATAAAATACCTAGGAATAAACCTAACCAAGGAAGTGAAAGACCTATACCCTGAAAACTATAAGACACTCCTAAGAGAAATTAAAGAGGACACTAACAAATGGAAACTCATCCCATGCTCCTGGCTAGGAAGAATTAATATTGTCAAAATGGCCAAGCTGCCTAAAGCAATCTACAGATTCAATGCAATCCCTAGGAAAATACCAACAGTATTCTTCAATGAACTGGAACAAATAGTTCAAAAATTCATATGGAACCACCAAAGACCCCAAATAGCCAAAGCAATCCTGAGAAGGAAGAACAAAGCAAGGGGGATTTCACTTCCCAACTTCAAGCTCTACTACAAAGCCACAGTAATTAAGACAATTTGGTACTGGCGCAAGAACAGACCCACAAACCAGTGGAACAGAATAGAGAGTCCAGATATTAACCCAAACATATATGGTCAATTAATATACGATAAAGGAGCCATGGACATACAATGGGGAAATGACAGCCTCTTCAACAGCTGGTGTTGGCAAAACTGGACAGCTACATGTAAGAGAACAAAACTGGATCGTTGTCTAACCCCATTCACAAAAGTAAATTCAAAATGGATCAAAGACCTGAATGTAAGTCATGAAACCATAAAACTCTTAGAAAAAAACATAGGCAAAAAAAAAAACATAGACATAAACATGAGCAACTTCTTCATGAACATACCTCCCCGGGCAAGGGAAACAAAAGCAAAAATGAACAAGTGGGACTATATCAAGATGAAAAGCTTCTGTACAGCAAAGGACACCACCAATAGAACAAAAAGGCATCCTACAGTATGGGAGAATATGTTCATAAATGACATATCCAAAAAGGATTGCCATCTAAAATATATAAAGAGCTCACCCACCTCAACAAACAAAAAGCAATTAAGCCAATTAAAAAATGGGCAGAGGAGATGAACAGACAGTTCTCCAAAGAAGAAAACAGACACATGAAAAGATGCTCCACATCGCTAGTCATCAGAGAAATGTAAATTAAAACGACAATGAGATATCACCCCACACCAGTAAGGATGGCCACCATCCAAAAGACAAACAACAACAAATGTTGGCGAGGTTGTGGGGAAAGGGGAGCCCTCCTACACTGCTGGTGGGAATGTAAATTAGTTCAACCATTGTGGAAAGCAGTATGGAGGTTCTCAAAAAAATTCAAAATAGAAAGACCATTTGACCCAGGAATTCCACTCCTAGGAATTTACCCTAAGAATGCAGGAGCCCAGTTTGAAAAAGACCTATGCACCCCTGTGTTTATTGCAGCACTATTTACAATAGCCAAGAAATGGAAACGACCTAAGTGTCCATCGGTATATGTATGGATAAAGAAGATGTACATATAAACAATGGAATATTATTCAGCCATAAGAAGAAAACAAACCCTACCATTTGCAACAATGTGGATGGAGCTAGAGGGTATTATGCTCAGTGAAATAACCCAGGCAGAGAAAGACAAGTACCAAATGATTTCACTCATCTGTGGAGTATAAGAACAAAGAAAAAACTGAAGGAGCAAAACAGCAGCAGCAGACTTACAGAACCCAAGAATGGACTAACAGTTACCAAAGGGAAAGGGACTGGGGAGGATGGGTGGTAATGGAGGGATAAGGCGGGGAAAAAGAAAGGGGGCCTTATGATTAGCGTGTATAATGTGTGTGGGGGGCACGGGAAGGGCTGTTCAACACAGAGAAGACAAGTAGTGATTCTACAGCATCTTACTATGCTGAAGGACAGTGACTGTAATGGGGTATGTGGGGGAGACTTGGTGATGGGGGGAGTCTAGTAAACATGATATTCCTCATGTAATTGTAGATTAATGATACCAAAATAAGAGTCATCAGCAAGATGAATGGGCTCTTTCCTTATGCCTCTCTTTAGTGAGCTGTGATCGTTAGATTAATCAACAGAAAGAGACTTAAGTACACCTCTATGCCTATAACCGACACTCAGAAAGTAGGATGTCTTAGGTTGACAGAACTTAAAACTGGCTGGGCAAACTAAAGCACTGCATTGCAGAATATTTCTAAGCCATTTTAAGTCTTTAGGCCTTTAGGACAAATGCCTAGAAAAGATGGTACTGCACATTGATCTATTGTATTTTACTGAATCTAAAATACCAATATTTTATGTACAAGAAAGAAAAAAATAATGCTAGTTATTATGGTAAGATACTATCAACTGCAAGATGAATCTCAGTATCAGACATATTAGTGTGAAAAGAAATGTGCCTTAGAATTGATGAAATATGATCATTTTCAGCACTGTGCCAGGATCAACCTACTGAAGGTCCAGCTTCAAAGGAATTAATAACTGAAACCTATGACAAAATAGGAATCTTAGTGATGGTGACATCAAAATTCCATCTTCTGTGATGTTTTATCCTCTTTTCTGAGCCTAATTTATTCATATCCTATGAACATATGTTTCCAGATATGAATATCTAATGCTTTTCTCTACACACTTGACAAAATAATTCTCACTTCTTTCTCTTACTTACTCAGGTGGGCAGGACTCAGTATTGCAGGCTCTTTGATTTTCAGGTGGCTTACTGTCAGGGTCACAGTAATTGTTCTGGACAGTGGAGTTGTCATCCAACCTTTTACAGACCACCTCCTGTCTTTGGACACCTTGAGAAAAGGAGGACATCATTAATGGAAAAGTAGTTTACCTTACAATAAGTTAGGTATGCACAGCTTTCCTCTGTGGGGAATCAACCTCACTGGATCGCTGCTCTCTTATCTGTTCCAGAAACACTTGACTGCTTCTCTAAAAAGGAGAGAAGTCTTGGTCATTATACCAATTTTAGGCAAAATAGTTTTCTCATATTTAGAAACATAACTGTTTTCAAGTTCAGAAAAGAAACTATTGGTGATCTTAAACAATTAGTATACCCATTTGTATATTCTTCTTCATGCTTTCCTTCAAGACAAACAAACTCCATTTTCCCAAAATTTCATCAGATAAAATGTATGACTATACATTTCAATGCAAAACAGTGATTGTATATCTATTTAAAAATAAAACAATAGAACAAATTTACTTTTTGATATTTTGTACGTCAAATCCCACCAGTTTAGCCTTTGTGAGGAGCACATCATATTCACACACTTCGGATGTTTTCTTCCACTTATAGACTTACTTCTCTAAAAGCCCACAAAGTCTAAAATTTAAAGATTGTACTGGGCCTCTTTTGGACTGCAACCCATTGGTCTGTTTGCTTTGACAGAGTTGGTCCCTGGTGATCATACCACTGTCAAACAGATGTATACATAGTCCATCAAACATTAACTTAAAGATTCTTATCTCATTCTTAAAAATTGGTCTGTGTGACTTGTTTCCACAGCTAAAAATATTCTCATTACAAAATTTCTAAAATTCTAATATATGTTTATTATTTATTGACAAAGATACCCACCACAACTTGCTCACATTTCACAAAATACAAAGACACACGCATACACACACTTATTTGTAAACATCTCTGGTGAATAGAATTTATGCAGACTCATTTTCTCTTTAGTGTCAAAGAATCGAAAACAGCAAAGACAGGTGGTATAGCAAGACATCAGAGAAAAAGTAAAACTACAGACAATGCTATCTGTTTCAGATGATGCAGAGGTAGCACGTTGCTCCTGGAATTGGAAATAAAAGCTCAGACTAAGGTATCCTCCACCACCTACCCCATCTCTATAACCAGGTAGGCTTAATTACCCAGGATTGTTATGAAAGCAGCATAAGCAATATCCAGAAAACCATAGTTTCTCACTTAGCTAGCCCCACACAAATTCAGCTTTTCTTTTCTTTTTTCAGTTGCTTGTAATAGTGCCCCAAAGAAGAGTTTGATCCCAAATTAGGGAAATGACTATAAAACAGGATCATTCAGTGAAGGAAACTGTCACCTAAAGAACAAGTTCCCTTAAGAATCATGGAAATTCTGCAGGTGAGCGTATCACAGTCATTATGCTATGCACACTTTTAACTGAGGCCTCTGCATTTAAAAATAGGGGAATCTGTTTCACTGATTGGGAAAACTAAGTACTGTGGCCTCCATGATGGTTGTGAGCAGTGGAAGAAGGTATATTTTATTACTTGCAGTGACTCATGGTTCTTCCAGATCACCTGCAATGGGTTTTTAAGTTTTCCTAAATTTAGGGGTCTAACAGAAACAAAATTAGTGGCAAAATGTCTTAGATGTATTCATTCCCTCCCAAACCTTAGAATAGGCCAAATATCTCAGTTTATGTGACAACAGTTTGGAATTTTTTAACTATTAAACTTTAGATTTTTGAGGGAAGAATGATTCAGATCAGGCATAGCTGTGATCCATTCACAGATGTTCTGCAATACTGTGTCATTCCAGTGGGCAGATAACTAAGTCCATGTGATCCATCTAGACAAAAATCTCTGCCATTAGTCATAGGATTCAATACTAACTGCCACAGTAGCTCAGAATATCCACCTACCCCAGTTCAAAATTTTGTTCCTATCAGGGAGAGCAGGACATTGGTTTCATAGCTTAGCATGGTTATTTTTTAAAAAGTCATTCAAATATGTTTATACTTGGAGGGGGTAGACTCAAACCACCCACTTATACAAAGGACATAACTCTACTTGACTTTTATAAATATGCTTGATAATAAAAGATATGATTATACTTGCAACAAGAAAGTTGGCATTCAATCTAGTATCTTGGTTGATTTTCAGAAAAAGATAAACATTTTCAACACTACAAAATGGAACTGGTGTTGTTTAGTATCAGAGGCAGAAAGACTAACTCAGTTCTACAAGTTGAGATAAAATTATACTTTCTTTGAATTTACTCTAGAAATATTTGGTTAAAATGACATCAGTTTTTAGAAGTAGCCTTTAATGTAAAAACAAGGCCTCTGCAATTTGGGTCACAGAAGAGATATTAGTTATTAGAGGTGAAATTTATACTTGATTTTAAGATAAATTCTAGCTATGTATGTATCTTGAAAAAACTTAGCTAAATAACATTTATTGTTGAAATTTTCGAAAATAACACAAAACAACAAAGGACAAAATAAAAATTATATACACAATCTCATATCTTCATTCCAGACCTTTATTCTTAAGGCTATTTTGCTCTTTGGTGGGATCCAGTAATTAGATTACAATTATACAGTACACAAACTAAACATGACAGCTAAGTGTGGTTGGCAGGCCATTCATTCATTCACTCATCCATTCATTCATTCAGCAGACAATTGTTACTAAATACAAGGCATTGTGCTTTTTAGGAGATATTGCACTAAGTCCTAAGAATTACAAATGGACTTAATTTTAGTCAGACCTTCCAGACTTCTTAAAAATTAGGAATTAAGGTGTTTGGGGGTTCATTTCAGTTTCATAATTTCAGAACACTATTTTTTATGAAGGAAAAATTAAAGTCCTTGAGTAAACAGCTGAAATAACTATATATTTTATGAAATGCATTTTTCCCTTGCATTTGTCTTTTATTAATTTTCTTCTAAAATGTTATGTTAGACAGTGTGGTATTTCACACTCAAGAACTGACCCTACCAGTAATCTATTCCAAGTCTTCCTCCAATAGCATACAACTCTCCTTCCAACTTTTACCCCCACACTTGGCAGGTTTACAGGGCTTTTTTTGTTGTTGTTGATGCTTTTGCTCTTGAAGTTGGAAGCACCAGGATAACTCTCCCCACCATCACACCTCACTGGACAGGTGCTCAAAACACACACTTTCAGATAAAGGAAAAGGCAGCTTCTAGCTTTGGAGGGTAGAAAATACAGGTCAACTGGAAATAATCCAAACTAACTCAACAAGAGAAATAACTGAGCTTAGAATCTTTTTATATGATCAAGCCTCTTATATGTAGCTTCTTTTAAAGTACCCTGTAAATTATTGTTAAGAAGTTGATTAAAACCCTGTTGGGAATAATTACACCCAGTTATATAAAGCCACTATGCTTTCAAATCTAAAAACTTATCATTTGTAACCAAATACATAAAATGTCCACAAGACCAGTCAGTATACGACTAATGGAAAATAAAAGATCTAGTGGCTTAATGTCATGTACCCTGGAGATAGACAGAGGTTCTGCAGAAGTTAACTGGTCCAATTTAAAACTGCCCTAATTACACTGTATTTTTAAACACCCAAAGTTACTGGCATGAAAATTCAATACTTGTTTGTTTTTTGTTGTAATGCAATCCCTCTTCCATGCTTAAGAAATTACTAGCTTCATATTACAAAATTCAAGTACAAAGATGCCATTACCAATACATATTTTCTTTAAACCTACTAAAATGGGTATATCCTGTTTAGAGACTTTAATTTGCTTATCTTCTGATGCTTTGATATCAAAGAATTACATATGATGGTTCTTAACACAGAAATACAACCATTACTTATAGTCTGTAAGTTTAAATTTGTCAGATCTTATATTTTATTTTCTGTCAATAGTCAAAAGTTACAGATAATCTGATAACCTGCTTGTCATCAAAGGTTCTCTTGTCCAATGAGAGGAAGGAGTGCCCAATTTGAATCACTGCTCTGGTTACACATCAAGCTATGGCTTTTAGTATTTTGAAATAGCATATACCACAGGAAAATGATTAAGAAGTCCACTAAGCCACAAGTGAGTCCCAAATGGAACCCTTCCTGTGTTGTGCTTACTCTAGGAGATGGGTATGGTTCAAAGGGTCTTTGCTCAGCAGCTACAGCCCTCGGGCCTGCCTGGAGGGAGAGAACACTCCAGAGACCATAGCTCTTCTTCATTTTCTTGCCTCCGTTTCAATCCCTCCTCTGCACCCCTTATAAGTTGCTCAATGTGCTCATGTTCCATCTCTCTCTTCTTTCAGAGAATTAAACCATTTCATAAGTTCATTTGTAACACCATTTGACAGTCTATTGTTTTCTCAGAGAAGTTAGCCGTTTTAAAAGCAGAGAGAGGATGTTCAATGCACAGAAATTACCACTTGAATTTCACTTGAAAGAGTGATATGTGTTAAACCGAGAAGGGTGTGGGGAAGTCAAAGGCAGGAGAAAGATCTTCTAGGTCTTCTCAAACTACTCATAAACCCAGCATTTCAGTCCTAGACCATTCAGTTGAGAACCACATGTGAGTGAGTCAATGAGGGAAAGAAAAAGGGGTATAAATGTGTCTTTGGGATTGATGGGCTAACCAACATTTAGGAAATTTAACCTAATGGCATGGCACATCATATCTACTACCCAAGGAAGAGTTTTCTAAAGAGGAAGAGGGGAGGAAAAGTAAAAAAAGTCAGCCCTTATACTAAAAATGTGGTTGATGGCTAAGGCAAGAGTTTGCTTAACCACAACATCCAAAGTAGCTAGCAACCAAGACAACACTATATAACCACAATGTACAGAGCATATGGCCAGCAATATTAATTTAATCTAAATCTTCACTGCAGAGAGCATCCAAAGAGCAACCAGCGCCAGGAAAACAAAAGTCTCTCTGCTCTGCCTTTCACTGACGGAATCTGGCTGTTGTGCTGCATGATTATTGGCCAGACACAGGCATTTGCAGGGCAGGGCAAAGCCCATCTGCCTTGGATCTAACAGCTGGCACCCAGGGTACCAATCAGCTCCACCACATACTTCCTTCTTCTTAAG